AGACGAAGGGCTAACGCTCGAAACGTCAGCTTTTGTAATCATTACGGTGGCCAATTTACCATTTCAACTTTGTTGATATATCCAAATTATTTCGTTACTCCCACCGACGCAGCCCCAAACAGTTTCTTTCGAAACTATCAGCCTTTATTCTTTCATCTAGGAAATTGCCTTATTTTAACTGAAAAAAGGGTTAAAACGACGAAAACATTTGGTCTGAAGTAGAGTGTTTTTTAAATTTCTTCCTGAAGTATTGTTTTCCGATTGCCCTTGACACACAATTGTTTGTTTTATTTTTTTCAAAACTCAGTCGTTTTCTACCACTATTGTACTCTCTATCAACTCCCTTCATGCAACACTGAACACTTTTTAAATAAACGTATATGAAACAAATATCATCGTGCAGTAGTCCACTCGTACACTGTCTGAAAATTGTTAACCAATGTTAAGAGCTAAGATGATCATATACGAAATAGCGCATCTGAGTTATAATTTAGTATTCCATTAAGATACAGACAAAGGGATTCATTTTCACATGACGATTAGTTAGTTCCGGAGGTTGAAGTCCTTAATAGTACCATTTTCGCTTCAGTAAGCATCCCTATTCATTTCTGAATGACCTCTGAGTAATGTCAGAAGGAAACAAGCTTAAGCGGTTGATAGCATCATCCGTACAAAAGACAGACCTGTAGGTTAGCCCCATTGCCGTGTTAACTGTGTTAAAATTTTCTGCCAAAAATGACCCTTGTTCATAAACTGTATTTTGAGTTTCAATTCTGCAGAGCTATGTTAATATGATGTTCATGCCAAATCATTGTCTTCTTTTCACCTTGGGACAGTGGAGGGTAACAGTATGTGATCTCGTTATCATTACCCGCGATCGCGAGCAATTGCTAAATAGTGTAACATTACCACAGACCAAAACTGCTATATTTTGAGAGAAAACACTATTAAGCCGAAAAGTCTTCGGAGGAAAGCTCAGCGAGCAGAACTTTCCTTCTACTAAAAATTAGCAAGCATCACTTTTTTTTGTCGGTGTAAACATTTACAGAAAGCACTTCTACTTTAATCAATTAAGTGTAAAAAGTCTAACAATGTAGCTGTGATTTGACGCTAGAAACAACACGTCCATGGCTGAGCGTCACAAATCGTACACGGATAAAATCAACACAAATAAGCAAGGATAAATCTTGAAAGAAACTTGCAATTTGCGTGAAGAAATTTTCTAGACTACTGATTTTTGTGGTCAGATAAAATACTGGCAAAAAGCAATTTGACTTTGCAAGTCACGCAACAATTATTACAGCCTAACCTTACGCTAGGCGAATGCCAATAATGGCCAATTATATTACGGATGTCACTTATTCGCAGACCTAAAAAGTTCCTTGGACAAAAGATGGCAACTGTGAAATGACCTTCAAAATCGGCCTTTCATCCAGAAAATTGCCTTATTTCAGCTGAAAAAAGGGTTAAAACGACGAAAACATTTGGTCTGAAGTAAAGTGTTTCTTTAATTACTTCCTGAAGTATTCTGTTTACCGATGGCCCTTGACACACAATTGTTTGTTTTGTTTTTTTTCAAAACTCAGTCATTTTCTACCGCTATTGTACTATCTTTAACTCCCTTCATCCAACGCTGAACAAAGGCACATTTTTAAACAAACGTATATGAAAAAAATGTCATCGTGCTGTAGTCAAGTCGTACACGGTCTGAAATTAATGATGTTAGGTTACTTTTGAAAACGTTAAATGTTAGATTTCCTGGAGTCAATTTTTAATCCATGTTAATTGATTACGCAACCCCTTAAAACTAGCACAGAGAAAAACAGCCCTACTTTGAGAGAATAACCCCATTAACCCGATGGTGAGCTAAAGCGTCTTCACGGATGAAAGGCGAGCAGAACTTTCTTTTTACAAATAATTGACAAGCATCACTTTTTCGCATAAACAAATGCAGACAATGACTCTACTTTTCTTTGATCACTGAAGTATAAAATATCGCTGCATATTAACATTAGACTAAAATTAGCGCAGATAAACAGGGCTAAATCTTGAAAGAAACTCGCAATTTCCTGTATAAAATTTGCAAGCTTACTGATTTGCGTACTCAGATAAAATACTGACAAAACAAAAAAGTACCGAACTCAACAAGTCAAGCAAATAGTATTACGAGTTATGCTACACTAGACGTAATACTTTTAATACCCAGTTACACATGGCATTAACTCGCAGACCTAAAATCTGTTTGCAAGAGAGAACAAGTGTGGAAAAATCTTTAAACTTGACCTTTTATGTTGCAATTACAAGCGGAAAACTGGGATATAGAGGTTTTGCACAGCAGCCATTTTGCATGGCCGGAACAATAGATTATTTTTCCTAAAGGAAAAAATCTTCTTTCTTGTGCAAAATATTTTCATTGTTCCTGCCATGCAACATGGCTGCCATGCAAAACCTCTATTTCAGCTGCATAAAAGTTTTTAAACGACTTAAAAATTCGGTCTGCGATGGAGTGCTGTTTTCAATTACTTCCTGAAGTAATTTGTTTGGCGACAGCCCCTTGCAAACATACTCTTTATAAACTCCTTTCATGAAAAACCGAACAAACGCCCTGTTTTTAAGACAAAAATCACTCTAGAGTAAACGAAACGAATATCATTGTTTTTTAGTAAAGTCGTACTTTATTAGAAATCCTGATGCTGTTACTTTTTAAAGGTTTCAGATTTGCTAATGTTAATTTTTAATCGATATTAATTACTCCGCTGAACATGCACAATAGTGCCTGTCAGCGCGAACTAATCCATTAAGACACGGACAAAGAGATTCGTTTTCAGATGACAGTTGGTTAGCTCCGGAGGTTGAAGTTGTTTTCTGTGTTTTTTCTGCTTCAATAAGCTTGCCTTTTCATTTCGGAATGACCTCTAAGTAATGTCAAAAAGAAACAAATGCTTGTTAGCATCATCAGCTCAAAAGAAGGTTACCTCGGTTGGCACCTTAGCCAATTTAGTTGTGTCAAAATTACTTTTTCAAAAAGTCCTTTAAGCATGAACAACATTTTGGGTGTAATTCTGCAGAGTTACGTCAATAGTATACTCTGGGAAACTAAAGCTTTCTGATCAGTGTGCAGTGGAGGGTGAATGTACGTGATCTTACAAAAATTTCGCACGATTGTCAGGAAAATAAACAATTAACAAAACTTTTGTCTTTATCCCGCCTCAAGAGCTATCCCACGATGAATTTCCCTATACAAACCGGCTTGTTTATGCAATCAAAACCGTTTAAAAAGGCTGTTTCGCTTCTCTCTCGACCACAAATTGCTCAGTTTTCTTCGAGCTACCGAGCAGAATTCGAGCAGTTCTATAATCTTCTGACAAGTTGTAGAAAGTAAGTTTTCTCCTTATTCTGTACCTCTCATTCTCTTTTTCTTCCAAGAAAAAAAGAAAAAATTAGCTGATTTTTCGATGGCAGCTAGTTTCTCAAAAAGAATGTTGTTTTGTTCGAAGAGTAGTATACTTTTCTTTCGCGAAACTTTATCCAAGGCCTATGCCATACCTAATTTATCAGTCAGACTCTCTAACCGGGTTCTTTTAGAAGATAGCCGTTAGCTTGTTAGTATATTTTTTCGCTTGGCTTATCCTTGAGTGAAAAAAAACATATTTTCAGGCTGAAGAAGAGGGAGGGGTAGGTGAATGACATCAGTCGTGCCTCGATCATTTCCTGCGGTAGCTAGAGCTACCAGATCTCCTATCCAGATACTTGCACAAAGCCGGTCGGCAAAAAGTCAAGCCTTAATCTTTATAGTCGAATACAATCGAATCTTGCAGTAGTCTTTTCTCGTAGCTGATATTTTGTGTCAATGACATCTATCTCCTCCCACCTCTCATACTGAATCTTCTTATTTTCTTTCAAGCATCTAAGAAGGCCAAACGGAAACATCAATGAAGATCTCTGCAGTTTTGCCGTCTGCTTTTGTGGCTCTTTGCATTTTTGAATGCTGTGTTTCAGGTACGAGTTTCATGATTTTTGAGGAGATCGCATGGATTTCAAATAGAATTGAAGGGGGCTCAGCCATCGCTAATAGATTATAAAAGGGGGGGAGGGACTACAGAAAACGACTTTGAATAAATAAGGATCATCAGAATATTATAGAGCCCCAGGGAATTAGGTAAACGACCTGAATCCCCTTCCCCCTCTCCCCCCTACTTAAGTAATCAACTTCGTCTTTAGCGTTAGAGCTCTGTTTGGGGGTCTAGTTTTTGCAGAACACGATTCGCAACCTTATCAGCATGTCTCAGCTGAATGCGGCGTTCTTCTTCTAAAACTCTTACATATTTTCCAGCCGCACACTTCAAACCTGGGAAAGATCCAAGAAATGCTGAATATAACAGACAATTTCTGCGTAAGTTGCTTTTAACCCATTTTTCTCTCATGGTTGTATACATGTTTCTTGTTTGATCCCAAAAGTTGCCCCTGGAATTCATTGCAGATCATCTGGCGTTTCATAGATCGGATTACTCAATGTACAATCTCTCGCCTCTCAGAACAAAAGTGGTACGATTAAAGACGCTTCTGGTAACTAAACACAAAATATAGGAATTGAGAAAGATCTTTTTCATATTTTCACGAGGCGTAGGACAAAGAAAAGATTCTGAGTCCCCATGAGGAATCGAACTCCAGATCTTCGGATTCATGCTCGTAGATGCTCGTAGATGCTCGTAGATGCTCGTAGATGCTCGTAGACGCTCGTAGATGCTCGTAGACGCTCGTAGATGCTCGTAGTTGCTCGTAGATGCTCGTAGATGCTCGTAGATGCTCGTAGATGCTCGTATATTGCAATTCTGATTGTCCTTGGACACGAGCTTAAACAAAGTGCAGTTTGCAATTTTAATTTTGTTTCAAGTCTTTGATAAACGTGAAGCTGAAATAATTGAAATTATCTATTCTCTCTTCAACTGGCTACATTTTGGAAAATGATTTAAATCTTTTTCTTGATGTTGTTGAGCACCAACACTCTTCTTCAAAAAACTACAAAGGTTATGAGGAATTCTTTTAGCAGCTTACTTGACTATAAAGTTTTATATTGCGATAGTTAAAACACTCGCCTAGCAAAAATCAATGAGGCATGGTATGCACATAAAAGTAAAAGTGCTCCGTCGTGGAACAATGGATGTGGAACTCATCCAAAGGCTTAGTTATTTCAGGAACAGTTCATATTATATGGTTACAATCTGGGATTGGTTCCATATGTGCAGTATCAGTAATTACTTATTATCGGCACACCGCAACAGCTTGATAAGGTAATTATCACTCATATTCGCGTAGGAAATAGCACCATTCACCCTTTGCCTATTGCTAGGAACATTGGCTCATGGTTTGATGCTAATATGTCTATGTCGGATCATACTTAAAAAACTTGTAAATCATCCTTCTACCATTTGTATAACATACGTCGGATCCGGAAGTATCTCTCCAA